CCAATTTAACCTTGATGAAGGCTTCCTTCATTGTTGATGAGGTATTCTGAGATGTGTTTTATGCTTTTAGGTTTGTGAATGCCGTACTACAGAGCGTTCCTATTTAATACATTCTGCCTTTACCACAGATTCGCGTTCGTCTGTTTGAGGCTGCCAGCTTAAATGATTCATCAGGTCCTTCCATACCCATGCTGGTATTCGCAATCAATCAAATTGGTGCAGATCTCAGTCTTCGCCAATGGGATCAAGAAATTAATGTGAGAATTATCCGAAATTTCCCCCTTTTGTTTGTCCTAATTGAATTATGACGCATGATGGCTGTCCAATGGTTGGTGAATATCTTAGCATCCGTCGGTAATTTAGTTTAATGCTGTTTTAACGTTGCTATTTAGATTATATGTTGATTAGTAAAATAAGACGCCTTGTGTGATCGCCTTACATAATTATTGAGACAATTGAACCTTCTTTGTAAATCAGCTATTTGAATTAATTGAGGCATTCGATTTACAGACATTTCAATTCGAAATGTGGCATAATAATTTTGAATTGGTTCAGAATTTACTTTAATTCGTTGAAATTGAACTGTTATCTTTTAGTAATATACGATTTTTGCAGACGTGCTAAAGGTGTAGACGCACGTTACTATTCTGGTAAAATTTGAACCCTTTCTGAGTTCATAAACGCGATGGCAACGAGAATTGTTGTCTGGAACCCATCATGATGTTTCGCACTGGTCATCAAGAAAAAGGAGATTATGCTCTCTACTCAATGTCTCCTTAACACTTTGATATGAATTCGGCATGAACTTGTGAAATGCGTGGAAACTGTAGGGTTATTGCTGGTAAAACAAGGCAACGTAGTAGATGATCTGATCTGATTGCGCTTTACTGCTTTACACCCTCCTCTAGGCTGTAGAATTGTTAGCAGCATCTTCCTTAGCGTGTGAATTTCTTGGTACATTTCTTGCCAGAATCTCGCTTTCTACTCCCATTATTAACTCCAGCCAACCACCAAATCGCTGTATGTGCATCAATGAACGTCGATCTCCCTTCTTCAATCTTGTTATCTTTCCTTTTACACTGCGCTGGTACAGAATTGGTGTGGCATTATTGGCTTGCTGTACTGTGTACTTTTAGGCCTATATGAAGAGGATGAGATTGGAGGCACCGCAATTCTTTCAAATCGGCAGTGATGCTCCGGTGTGCCTGATCGACACCCTTTCAAAATCCTCGGATTTGTCTACTTCGGACAATGACCACCACTTTTCCGCTAAATTCTTGATAGCTGACAAGCATGGACCCGATTTCGCTAGTAAATATGACAATATTCGACATAATCTCGTCTGCAAATTTCGAGTATTGAAGGTGACTTTATTTATTCATAAATTATCCTTTTACATAGACCTGGAAATTTTCTATATTTTAATCGAAATTTATATGTGTAACTAGATGAATTTTTACTTGGTGACACAGTTGGGATTATTCAATTTGATGAGTAATAAGATGCGTTCAAACCATCTTTTTTTCTCCTCTTATTATGATCTCATTAGCTTTGATGTTTCCAGTGTAGTAGACTACGTGTAGTATAAATCACGCTAGCTAGGTTGTTCACCGATGCTTCCCATGTATCACCTTTGTCTGCAAATCTCTAGATCCATCTGCACAAAGAGGCTCTGGTTTCCCTGATGGGTTTCTTCAGTAATTTGGCGAACGTTCTCTCCAAGAAGCTTGAATCCGAGGAGGAACTGAAAGAAAAAGACCAGAAGGCTATGGAGTGGGCTACTCTGGTAGGAGACACTGAGGGTTCAGCGCAACTGCGCGAGAAATCAATGGTATCCAATCGGGAGGCTCGTTTGAATTTCACCAAAACGACTCCGGCCGATGCTATCACTGGCGTCTTCGCGAGGAGGAACGAGCGGCGGGATATTCGTATTGATGCCGCACTTGAAGCTGTCAAATTGGGTTCGTGTAGCCTTGGTAATTATGCACTTTTGCTCCCAGTCATCAATTCACTCTCTCATCATTCATAAAACCTGTGAATAGCTCATTCATTTTGGATTAATTTCATTGATTTAAATTGGAAATGAATCAATACGACCTGAATTAATTGAGGAGATTGGCTTTATGGAAAGAAAAGACTAGATGATCTGGCTGGAAATAATCAGAGTAAGCAATGCTTCAGAGAATGACCCCAGTGACTGACGCTTTGGGTTTCTTTTCTTCAACGTAGCGCTTACGTTGATAGGGTTAGCCGTTTCTCCCTACTCTTTTGCAACCACGAGATATTAACGGGCGCTTAAGTAATTATTCTTTTAAGTTGGATCTATATAATGAAGGTGAGGTTTACTACTTATTGCCCCAATGGCACAAGGAGGTGCATAGCCTGAAAGCAGTCTGAAAGTGAAGAGGTGTGCGGACTTTTATGTTCTCCTTATTAACGGCACTCTCTCTCTCTCCCTCTCTCTCTCTTTTTTGTTCCCTTCCACCATCCAGTTTAGGAAGTTGGTTGCCATGGCGTTCGGGGGGAAATTATTACTGGACGTAGGTCTTCATAAAAGAAGATTACCACACGCATTTTTGATTACCTCAAACTATTTCAATTTCCTTAAACATCAGAAGCAAACGCACATCTCAGAATGCACATACTATTGTAGGCTGTGGAAGGTGACACTACTCCCATCTACAGAGTTGTTGAGCGGATATTTTGATCTGTTGTACTGAGAAGCTGTTAACTTATCAGAACGACGCTTAAAAAGTGCAGGAAATATTAATTCGTCAATTGTTTAAAACTTCTCTGTTGAAATTTGAGCTTAAACTTTGAGGCCTTTGCAGCTTTCACGTTAAGTAGAAGAATTGATGCCATTTTTAAGTCTCTTTGACAAGGTCACATTTGTGTTCGATCTTCATTCAGTCATTACCGCCACTTTCGACTTCATTTCATCAATTGAGTTATTGATTTCGCCAGCAAATTTTCATGTCCTAGCTACCCACCTCCCCCTGGTCTCTCCCTCCC